AAAGAACAGGGACAAACACTTCAGTTTTGGTCTATTCTTAGACATTTCATCTTTTTACTTCAGCTTTTGGAGTCATTGATGAATTACCAATTTAAAGTGGATCTAGCTTCCATAGCTGGACAGAATACTGAGAATAACAAATATACTCTGTCTGATTTTCTTTCCCACTGCAGTCAATGCAAAGGAAATATGGTATCACTGGAAAAACTCCACAGAAGACAATCACCCATCACCAAGTCACCCTTTATTTACATGTGGAGAGTGCTAGACACTGATCCGGCTTCCTCAGAGCCAGCTGTCAGAGTGAACATAGCACTTGACACTCATGTTTCATCTGTCAGCCAGGGCTTCCTGATTGGACCAGATTAACAGCCCCAATCAGGGAACTCATATTCTATGAGGTCCACCTGGCTGACCTCGTTACAATTATTACATCCCTCTGAGTTCGAGAACATAGGCCAGTTTTCTTTCGTACCTTCTCCTGGGGTGTCTTAGCACTGGGTCAGGTTCCTCCAACTCTGCCTCGGATACGGGCAGCGTGTAACACACATTTGCTCACCCCTTGCACCTGAAGCATCTTGGAAGAAATTCATTCTCCTCCTCAGGCAAAGGCGCTCGATGGCGACATCCACCTTGTCCATCTCAGATTCAAAGATATAGAATTCCCTAAAGTGTGGAAGCAGGCCATTCGGCCCAACAAGTCCACACCAACTCTCTGAGGAGCATCCCATCCCGACTCACATCCACCCCCCCACCACCACCCCATCCCTGCAACCCCTCCACGGCTAATCCACCTTACCTACACATCCCCGGACACACTATAGGTAATTTGGCATGGCCAATCTACCTAACCTGCACATCTTTGGACTGCCATGATGTGGAGGTGCCAGTGCTGGATTGGGGTGGACAAAGTCAAAAATCACATGACACCAGATTATAGTCCAACAGGTTTATTTAGAATCACACAAGCTTTTGGAGCGCAGCCCCTTCGTCAGGAGATCACACAGACACAGAGTTTATTGGCAGAGAGATAAAGGTAACAGAGATCAAAGGATCATACAACTGGTGTGAGTGGAGTGAACAAACATAAAATGGCTGACTGACTGCCTCCTGATGAATCTTTAATCATTCATACATTCCTCCATGCAAGAGTTCTCCATACTCTGCTTCAGCAAATTCTAGAAAGCACCTGTACTCTTAAAGCTTGTGATTTCAAATAAACCTGTTGAACCATAACCTGGTGTCAGGTGATTTTAATTTTATCTTTGGACTGTGGTTGCAAACCAAAGGAAACCCACACAAACACAGGGAGAATGTGCAAACTCACACGCATACACTCACCCGAGGCTGGAATTGAACCCAGGTTCCTATTGCTATGAGGCAGCAGTGCTAACTATTGAGCCACCATGCTTGTTAGTTCAGTTAAGTTGCATACACTATTCATACATTTGCTATGAATGTTCAGCATTATATCTTTAAAAGTATCCTACTTATCCTATGCTTGTGATAATGCAATGCATGACAGACAGGGAGAAACCATGGGTTCCAGAACAGTCGGATAGGCAGTCGAGGAGCCAAGAACGTTTTGCTCCTGCACTGTTTGCGAGTTTGCAACTTTCACACAGTCCATGTGCTTGTTCAAAGCCTTCGCAAATACTCAAACTTTATATGTCACTGAACTTGAGCTCGCGTTGACCATACCTCTTACCCATTCAGGGCCATTCCCATGGTTCCCCTGAAACAAACTGACCCTCTCACTGAGCAGAGTCTTGTGTCCGGCATTGGTGTTCCTGATGCCATTTCACCCCACCCCCTAGGTCTGGGCAGATCAGATTTAACCTGGTCCAAAGGTGCCTCCCCATTAGCAACTCTGCTGGAGCTATCCTCGTGGTTGCATGAAGGGTGGTCTTATGGTCAAATAGGAACCAGGGTAGTCAGTATCTAATGAAGATATAGACTGTTTCTTTAAGCCTAGCTTCAAAGTTTGGACTGCTCTTCCTGCCACACCATTGGATGATAGATGGTATGGTGAATGGTCTTCGATTCTAAGAAATACTCAGATTCCCTGCTGGTAAACGATGGCCCGTTATCTATGACCAATGCTTCCATGAGTCCATGTATTGCAAAATATGCAACAGTTTTTCTGTTGTTGTCCCCGTGTTTGATCAATGAACTCTATGCATGGCCAGCCATTTTGAGTGGCCATCCACAATGACTAAGAGTAAATTGAGCCTGTGAAAGGACTTGCATAATCAACATGTAACCGGGCCCAGGGTGCCCAGCCATTCCCACAAATGTGGGGGATCTGCTGGCAGTAATTTTTGTCCTTGTTGGCATTTTTGGGCACTGCCTCACCGACGCTGTAATGTCTAATCCAGGCCATCAGACATTTCTCTCACAAACATCTTCATTTTGGTGCCCCCTGGATGATCCTGGTGGAGTTCGGCCAGTATCTGGCAGTGACCTTTGCTTGGGATAATCATTGCTGCTCCCCAGAATAATATGCCGTCCTCTTCTGTGATCTGATTTCTCTGGGTCCAAAAAGGTTTCAGTTCTGGTTGTGATAGCTCTTTAGTTTCTCTTATCCCCACTAGTTGTTTCAGTTTTACCAGGACGGGATCCTTCTCCATCTGAAGTCTAATATTGTCAGCAGTGACTGGAAATGTGAAAGTTTCAAGCCATTACAGACTCTTCCACTGGTGGTACCACCAGTGGTATATCTGCCAGCAGGAGGCAGCCCAATGCATCCTGGCCTCCCGGATGTCATTACAACTTATAATTATACGTGCTTAGTATTAGAGCGCACCACTGAATTCAACCTGAAGCTATGGGCAGTACTGCCTTGTCCTCCTTAAGTAGACCTAGCAGGGGTTTGTGGTCCGTTATTATAACAAATTTACATCTGTAAATGTATTGGTGCAACTTCCTGAGTCCAAATATGACCATCAAACCTTCCTTCTCTATCTGGGCATATCTGTGCTCTATTAGCCAAAGTACTGGATGAATATGCTGTTGGGCATTACTCTCCATTGGGCCACTAATGAGCCAATTACACCCCAGTGCTGTACAGGGAGGCATCGCATGTCAATATTAGATCTTGCTTGGGATCCATAATGTGCCAAAACGTTAGAAGATAATAGCTTTTTCTTCACTTCCCTGAAGGTTATGGCTCGACTGCATGACCATTTCCAAGGCTGACACTTTTTTAAGAGTTGATGCAAATGTGCCAGGATGTAGGCCAGGTTATAGAAGCATAAAATCCCTACACTGTGGAAACTGGCCATTTGGTCCAACAAGTCTACACCGACCCTCCGAAGAGCATTCTGCCCAGAACCATCCCGCTATGCTTTCCCCTATAACCCTGCATTTCCCATGGCTAACACACCTAACCTACACATCACTGAAAACTATGGGCAATTTAGCATGGCCGATTCATCTAGCCTGCACATCTTTGGACTATGGGAGGAAACCGGAGCACCCAGCAGAAACCCACGCAAACATAGGGACAATGTGCAAACAGATGCCCAAGGGTGGAATTAAGCCATGTCCCTGGCTGCGCCCTGGGTTATGGTTATGTGGCAGCAGTCATAACCACTAAGCCACTGTAATAGTTCACCAGCCCCAGGAAAGACCTAGGCTCCATTACAGATGTGGGAGCTGGGACATCTTTGATCGCCCTCACTTTATCTTCCAGCAAGTGTAACCTGGTCTTGTCAATTCTGTAGCCCAAGTAAGTCACTTGGGGTGCCTGGAATGTCTCTGGGGTGTCTCTCCCTTCCTAAGGTGTACACCCACCTCTAAGAAATGTCTAAGGACTATGCCCAAGTTCTCCTTATTGGTCTTCCCTGTTATTAATACATCATCTAGATAAATGGCAATGCGGTGTAGACCTTGTAAAATGTTTTCCATCATCCATTGAAAAATTGCACAGGCTGATGATACCCCAAATGACAGTTTTGTATGTTGATATAAATACTTACGGGTATTAATTCTAGCATGCTTCCGGGAACCCTCATCTAACCACAATTGCAAATATGCATGGCTCGTGTACAGCTTTTGTGAGGATAGCCCCCCTGCCAGCTTTGCGTATAAATCCCCTATGTGAGGGATTGGGCATTTATCCAGCTGCAAAAAGTGGTTTACCGTTTGTTTAAAATCCCCACAAAAGTGAACTGACCTGTTGGGCTTCACAATCTGTCTCACCAGTGCTGTCTATTCCACGAACTGACCGATCTGATGATTCCTTCGCTTTCCAGCTTTCTGCCTCTACTTTTACTCATAAGGCAAATGGCACTGGGCAGGCCTTGTCAAATCATGGAATGGCTTCCTGGTCAACATGCAAGGTGGCCTTGTCACCTCTTATATTCCCTAGATTTTCCTGAAAAACTTCTGTGTATTTAATTAGGACTTCACTCAGGCAGCCATTTTCTAATCAAAAAATGCTGAGCCAATCTAGCTAAGCAATTTAATTGTTCTAGACCAGATGTAGGTGGACTTTCCCGGGTGTGTACTCTCCTGGATACCAGCCTATGCATTCTCTTACTCAATTTTGGTCTAGTGGGTCTCTTTTGCTGTCTTGAGTCTGCATACCAGCAGCAACTACAATGGCTTTCCACCCAAGATCCTGAAGAAATTTTAACTGTATCCTATTACCCTTTATTTACACGTGCATTGTGCTTGACACTGATCCAGCTCCCTCAGAGCCAGCTCACAGAGTGAACGGAACCTCTGGAAATCCTGTTTATACCTGTCAGGCAGGATTTCCTGATTGGACCAGACTAACAACCGCAATTGGGGAAATCATGTTCTATGAGGTCCACCTGGCTGACCTCATTACAACACTACAATGACCAGTCCCTAATCCACATTTCTGAGTTTGTTGCCTAGTGGTGGAATTCACTTAAAATTTATTCCAATATGACATCAATGAATGAAGTGAGAAGTTAGAAGAAATTTATTTTCCAGCTGGATATTGAAAAATAGAAGACCTTGTGACAATCATTAGTTCAGGAAGATACCTCTACCTATTTTAAGTGAAATTGCATATATGTTTGAAACAGAGATTAGTACAAGATTAAGAGAAGAAATAGATAAAATGGATTGGTTCAGGTTTGCTCATAACTCAATATCATACTCAATGAATTATTATTATTGTTAAACTGTTTTATCTTCATTGTTAAAGAGAATTCTAATTTTTTTTTGGTTGAATAAACCTGCAATTCAGTAATACAGTTTGGGGAAAAAGATTATTGTATGTTAAATTTCCCTTTGTGTGGTGTCTATTTGATATCATATCAGGGCATATTTTATGTATTTATCATACTTATCATTTCTTCTTTTAGGGTTAATTCAGACCATGGAAATCCAAAGGAAAATATTGCAATCATGGTAAATATGGACGCTTGAATTTTACTATTCATTATCTGATTGTAATACCTGAGACCTTAATTGACTGATTTTTTTTCTCTTAAAAGGACACAGCCTGGCCTAAAATGGCTACCATGATCACCTGAGAACAGATTGAGGCAAGTCCAGAAGACCCATGTGTAATAAATGTAACTATCTGCACTGAAATTGCTATTTTATCTAAATGCATTGAAATCAGGGAACTGTGACACCACCCAGAAATTTTCATCTCCTGTTTAAGTTCACACTTGCATGATAATTTCACATGTTAGGAGATGAAAGACTCACTTGAAAGTTAGCCAGCTTGTAAAGACAAGGAAGCCAAACTTATGAATATGTAACAAACCATATTTCAACAGCTAATATTAAGCAATAGAGCAGAGAAAAACAACATACATTGAACACAGCAGCTACAGCACGGACACCCTTTCTGGTTCTTCCTCAGCATTTCAGGAGACAGCACATGATTAAAGAAAGAAAACTGGGAAACAACCATTCACTGATGACTCAAAGGTATCTACAAAAGTTGCTGCTGCTGAGGATATGGATCAACAATTAAAGAAGTTTTGTCCCAGGTTAAAAAAAACGAGGTGTTTTAAACTATGTAACCTGTACTTTTCCTGTATGTATCAGACACGCTCCCTTTTATTTAACATGTGTTTGTGTGTATGTATTTAATGATTTGTTTGCACTTTTTTCTCAGGGTTAATGTGTAATAATACACTTCTTTTGTTCATTCAGGAAAATCCTGTACTTGCCTCCTTTCCTTTGGTCTAGTTAGTCACATATTTAATTGATATTTGATACAATTGCGCGCTAATCAAAGTTAAGAAGTATCTGTAATGAGCAACCAAGATGGGGCTTAAAAAGAGAGAAACCAAATTACCCCTTTTCTCTCTTGGTTGTAACAAAATATCATCTGAAACATGTCTAGATTTTCTTTTAAATAGTGCTTTTCAGAAGGTGATAATTTTGGAAGTAAAAGCATGACTCACAGTGATCTAGCACTGATCTAGATGTCTTTGTTAAAAGAATACATGCATGATGGTTTCTAAGATGTCAATTGGGCTTTACGTGTTAAATATATTAATATATTAAGTTGTATTGTGCAACACAAGGTTGCCAACAAGCATTTTCATAGTTCCAATGCTCAGTTTATAAAGGCTCAATTTACAAAAGCAGACATAATCAGTTCCCCTGTGTATTTTGTTTGATTGATTTATTGGATAAAAGGAAAATTTTGCTTGCTACTGAGTTGTGAGGATGTTGTGATGTATTACCAAGAACTGAAAATTTTCTTTTAAAATCTGCAGAATAGGGCATTATATTCTGTAAATTCCTAAACAATAAATAGTATTTCTTCCTCAGCCATTCTGCTTTTCTACTAAATACGATGTTCTAGTTCAATTAAAGTCTTCTTGCAATTTCCTTTTCCATTAGCACAATCTCACAACTCTGATTAACAATATTTTGCTAGATTTTCCAAGCCCCTAACTGCAATCCAAAATGTCTCATTATGCCTGCAAGCTATAAATATAATTGTGAGCCAATATCATTTTAATTGTTTCTCTTATGTCTTTTTTAAATGATTCAGCAGTCATCAATAAGATAAGTGTTCTCATACCCTCTAGGCTTAATCTAGGAATGATGTTATAAGGCAATGTAACAGAGTTTCCATATAATGAAACCTTATGCAGAAGATAATGACAAAGCACTTATATCCCTCAGAAGATAAATGAAAACAGTAGATCTTCTTTCCTTTCTTTTATAAGTACCATTTTGCCTCCCATTTCAATCGTAAGTCCTTGGTAAAACAGATTATTCTAAGGAGAGCATGCATGCAGTGCTCTTAATTTGACCATACATTTCCCAGTTCCTGACTGTGAATGATGATATTAACGAACGAGACAAATCTTCTTGTTCATTAACTAAATTTTAAAAGGCCAATAAATTATCCTTAATCCCAGTGGATAATTGCAAATAAAGATGCCTCAGTCTTTCATACTTGCAAATCGACACTTGTAATTTCGCCAGATACTTCACAGGAATTTATTAAGCAAACAGTAGGTTGCAGTTATAGTTTACTGGTATTCAGATCCTTTGCACAAGTAATAAACAGCATTGCATAATGACATTAATTAAAGAAGTAACTGCCCATTAAGGAGTTGCAGGGTAGAATTACAGCATGGTGGGAACTCAAAATCAAGGCAGTGTGTGCTCTATTTTTAAGCTTTGCTCACAGCAGTCAGCAGCTAATTTGAAACATATGTAATTTAACGGATATTTGGCCTTTATTATACATCTTTTCTAGATACATTTTTAAAAGTGTGCTATCGTCTTTATATCTACTTAACCATAATCTAACTTATTTTCCATCAAGCTAATTTTCTCTCATCTTCAGCATTGGCATCTTTTCATTGCAGGCACAAAATCAGTCTATTCACAGGCTTTCAAGCTTCCTGATATGATGGATGAAACTGCCTTCATCCATCAGACATAAGTTTAAAAAATGAGCCACTGACATGCTGAACAGAATTTCTGGCCTATGAAATATCATTGGAGCTGTGAGTACTGAAGAGCAAATTCTGCAGTAATCCATGTGGCTAGACCTTTCAAATGAGGCGGCAGCGAAACAAAATGCTAGAAATAATCTTTGAGCCACCCGCTAAAAAGAGGCACCCTGAAGCATTTAGCATTAAAAAATGAAGAGACAAAATTGTGTGTTTTTTTTTCATTTTGTGATCTATGAAATGTAATTCGACAAAACATATGCCTAGTTTTATGTGAACAAAACCATGCAGCTGTTGCTTATAAAAACAATGTTTGAACTTGCGTGGCATATTAAAGAGGCACTATCCTTTTAGTATTCTATGTGGGCTATCTTTAGGACTACGTTCAAAAATAGAATACTGAAAGCATAACTATTAACATATTGACATCTGCTTTGGTATTGAATCATACAAGCTAGAAAGGTCCTTGGTTCAAATTCTACTTTGCGGTTTGTTCATCTCAGGCTGATTTGACAGCACGAGCAGTTCATGGAGCAATCTGACCCTGGGATAAGGAGAAAAATATTTCAGTTTTTGTTTCCACTTTTGATCAGCACTAGCAGTGTGCTGAAAGCTGAACGCTTTAATGAAAAGTGAAGGGTGGGTTGAGCTTGGAGTTGATGCATTCCAAAGTTGAATAGCACTGATTCACTCAGTATCCTGATTCATTCATGATGTGTGGAAACTTGAAAGAGGTAAGATTGGGGTACATTCCCTGGAAAAACATTGACGTACATTTTGATTTTAGCATTACCTTTAGGTGTACGTTTTCAGTTTGCACTGGGAATGCTCAATTTGGGAATTGATCCCATGCCTGATCTAAGTCATTGTCTCCTGAAAATACAGGAAGGAATACTAAGAACCCTGGAAAAAAGCCTAATTAAAAACATGTTCACTCCTTTGTGACATGTTTGTGTGCCTGTTTCAATAAATTACTGTAAATACTGAAACAAGCAGGGTGACTATTTAGACATCTTGATGTAGCACATCATTGTGTAATGTTGTTAATTACTTCAGGACATTTTAGAATCTATTATTTACATGTTGTTAAATTTACTGCCAATTAGATTTTGGTTGGAAATTAATTTCTATGCAAAATTAACTGAGTTCTAATGTTCCACATTAGGGTTATTTAAATAGAAACTATTCTGGAGATACTGCAGTATTATAATCATAAACTGAAAAGATGGCATGCAATGGACATTTTCAGACTTTTCATTCAATACGCCATTTAGGTTTAAACATTATACATTCCTTAGTGAAGGCAGGGTAAAATACAAGAGATAAATACCACCTTTTTGATAAATGAATAATGTGTGTGTTGTACAGTATTGAACTCTTTGTCTTTGTAGCATTCATCTCAGCGAGTTCACAACAGTAGATGTGGTAACTAAAAGATGATAGAGAATGAAGGAATATGTATGCAATATGGGAGAGAAAAATGCTGAACACACTAAAACTGTTCAGCATGACTTGGTACATGCACAGGTAATCCAGATAGGCTAGAAAGTCAGAAGCAGGAAATGAAGAATCATGGAGGCAACTACTGCTGCTCCAAGAATTAATGACTTTGCATGTCAGCCTTATCGCTCTTGGCGGATGTATATTTTTTGCCCTGCTTTTATTGTTGGCAGATGATGTGAGGTTGTTCTTGGGCTGGAGGAGAATGCTTTCTTTTTCTCAGATGCCTGAGATTTTGTCTTGTGGGATGGTATGGTTGTTCAGTGCCATGTTATTGGGTAATGTTAGGGATAGTTCCTAGTTTGATCCCTAAAGTATGCTTGACCCATAACTGTCCTCTAAAATGGTCTGGCAAACTATTCAAGGACCACAGGAGCACGGCGGGCCAGGCAGCATCAGAGAAGCAGGAAAATTGACGTTTTGGGTCAGCACCCTGAAGAAGGGTCCCGACCCAAAACATCAACTTTCCTGCTCCTCTGATGCTGCCTGGCCTGCTGTGTTCCTCCAGCTACAGCTCCACACTGTGTTATCTCTGACTCCAGCATCAGCAGTTCTTACTTCTCTCAATTCAAGGACTGTTGGAATGGGAAATAAATCCTGGTCTTGCCAATAATAAAAGGATCCAAACAAATCTCAAATGTCTCAATGGAGTCCTGATTCTGTCCCATTCTTCACCTTAATTGAGCTTCTTAGATGGAACATCATCACTTCTTATGCCTCAGTGCCATTGCAGCGCTAGCCAGCATACAAGAGGAAAGTGCAGTTCTGAACTCTGGTTAATTGTTAATTCAGCTTTTGTTGATCAGATCAATGGGGGAATGTTGGCTATCATAATAAGACAGCTTACAGGAACAAACATAATCTCTATTGCACTGGGGTGGTGGGCTACTGGCATTGTGCTGAGGTCACCAAATAACACACCTTCTTAAGAAAGTTGCCAGAAAATGCCGAAGCTTTTTAAGAAGCACCATGTTCATATTGTCAGCCCAGCCTGCTGTTCCAATGCCAGATATCACATTAGGACCACACAGAACCAAGCAATGGATTTACTTGTCACTCTGCAGCTAAGTGTCAAGCTGCAAGATATGCTCTGCACTCGGGTTTTTAAAGCACTAGGCACCAAT